GGGGGGCCTCGCGTGCTGGGTCTTTAGGTCAGCCAGCCTCGTTGGTTTTCCACGCCGGCACCTCCTCTCCACGGGCGTCCCCGCTCTCTCTCTTGCATTTCTCCACTCGGGGGCCTGCCAAGTGGGGACCGAGTAGATGGGGTAGGAGGATGGCGTCGCGTCGCGAATGCATCGCCGATGCATCGGCGACGTTGGTGACGCCTCGGCGCAGTCGGCGTGGAGAAACTCTGGCTCCACATCGGTCCGCATGGCCGATGTATCGGCGATGCGGCGCGATCCCCCGACCCCATCTATACTCCGGCCCCATCTGGGGAGCCTTTCGCACAGGAGACGCAAGCCGTGCCCCTTCGGATCCAGAAGGGAGGCCCAAAACCACATCACGACGGGCGCCCTTGCAAAATCCATCTCGGTTCGATCGACCCGAACCGATGTCGAGTCGGGCCGGCCAAATCCGATCCGCTCCTGGTATTCCGGCGACCCGATGCCTGCACAACTCCGCTGTGCATCCAATCGCGGCCAATCCGATTCGATTTCGACTCCATGCTGGTCCCCCATTTCGGATCCAGAGGCGAGGCCGCAAACCAGATAGGCACTGTTTGAACCAAGGGCGACGCCAAAGGCGCCGCCAGGGGGTTCCAGCGTCGACTCAAGAGATCCGCGCGGACCTCTAGCATATGAATGTTAAACTATTCGACTAGGCGCAATGGGTGAGCCTCAGAAGACAACTCCAGGGAAACTTTTGGTCGTCTCTATGGCGCCCGATAGCAAGACCAACCGCGCGCAAAAAACGAACATAATGCATCTCCCTCACATGGCACTGTTGGAATTATTTGGCGCTATTTGGGCGCACTTTGCTGACATACGCGCTGCATCCAGGACGAGCGGAAACTTCCGTGACCTACAGTCTAATGAGCCTACGGCAGGTTCGTGCCGTGTCGACCCTGGCGCTGGTTCCTGACACCGCGGGGACCTTTCAACCTCGAATTATCAGCCGTTACCAAATTCGTGAGACCGTTCAGCATCGACCGCTTCTGGGTCGCCAGCGGCGTTCAGCGCTCATCGCCAGCGGCGGGGTCGCCGACGGCCGACCCGACGGGAACCCACCGAACCGCTGAATGGAAGGCGGAGGAGGAGGGAGAGGTAGGGGCGGAGGAGGAGGACGAGGAGGAGGAGGAGGAGGACGAGGGGTTAGGAGGGAGAGGTAGGGGCAGAGGAGGAGGAGGAGGAGGAGGAGGAAGAGAGGAGGAGGAGAGGAGGAGGAGGAGGAGGGGGGACGAGGGAGAGAGGGAGAGGTAGGGGCGGAGGAGGAGGAGGAGGAGGAGGAGGAGGAGGAGGAGGAGGAGGAGGAGGAGGAGGAGGAGGAGAAAGAGGAGGAGGAGGAAGGAGGAGGAGGAGGAGGAGGACGAGGAGGGCGAGGAGGAGGAGGAGGAGGACGAGGAGGAGGCGGGCACGCCCGTGACCTGCAGTCTCGTTAGCCCGCTCCGGCCCCGCCCCCGGGAGGCCCGCAGGCCTCGCTTCTGGCGGTCCGCGCGGGGGGCCGGCCTGCGCCCCCGGCTCTGCGGGAGCTCGCCGACGCCGACCTGCGCGGGCCGACGCCCGCCGAGGTGCATCGACGCGTCAGCGGCGCCGTCTCGTCGACCACTGGACGCCAGCGCACGCCAATGCTAGGGGAACGAAAAGTGACACAAACACAAAACTCGGAGGTCCGCGCGGACTTCTCGGATCGGCGCTGGGGCCCCCCGCCCCCGGCGGCGCCTCCGGCGCCGCCCCTGGCGCGCTCTGCGCGCCAGGGAGGGGGGCCCAGCGCCGATCCGAGAAGTCCGCGCGGACCTCCGAGTTTTTATGTTGATGCCGCTTTTCGTTCCCCTACAATGCACCCCGACGAAGGGAGCTGCGAGGACGCGCAGGGCTCCCACGAGCTGCTGCCGAGCTTCGGGGCGCCCCCCTCGGCCACGTGCGGCCGGGCCAGGGGCAGGACGACATATCCCCTCCAGGAGCAGGCGGCCCTCCGCCTGCCAAGCCGAAGAGCACTCGAGGGCACTCTTCTCCAGGATGCACCAGGACATCCAACCAACAGGAAGACGATCGGGTCGGCGGCGAGCGAGAGGGGAAGAAGTGAGCAGGAGAGGGCCCTCTCTCTGAAGGCGGCGGGACTCCTCGGAAACCCTCTGGCCTTCTGAGCAACTTTCTGTGCCTTCGGGGAAGGCTTAGAACACTTCGCAGAAGGACGGGGGGCTTCCGAGCCTGCTCTTGCCATCGCTCGGACGTCCATTCCCTGTGCATTTTTCGGTTTCGTGCGTGTTTTTTTTGCTCGATGGTCCATGATGCTCCTCCAGGGTCCTCGCCGAGAAAAAAATGCACACGTCCGAGCGATGCCAGGCTGCTGAGAAGGCCCGCCACTTCTCGGACGCCTGGTGTTTTTTCGGTCGTACCTCGGCTCGCAGGTGGCCGCTCGGGGAAGGATCCAGGCACCCCCGGAGAACGCTCTCGGCGAGGCGCAGCTGCTGGAGCGCACCCCGAGGCCAGAAAATCGCCGAGAACCGGCGACGGTGCCCGGAAACCTCGAACCTCGAGCCCGAAACTCCAGAAACTTCCCAGGCACCTCCGGAACGTTCTCGGCGAGGCGCAAGCTGCTGGAGCGCCTCCCGAGGCCAGAAGATCGCCGAGGAGCGCCGAAAAGCACCGTCGCGAGAAGGCCTGCCCCTGTCCTCACTTCCCCCCCCAAAGGGTCGCCGCCGACCTTTGCGAAGAAGACCCGTCTCGCCCGGCTCCGACGCAATTGAAGGGGCCCTCAGACACACAGATAAATACATACAAATAAAAGGATGTCCCATATTTTCCATATTTCCTGGGTTTTTGTCTTCCCCCCCACTTCCCATATTTGCCCATATTTTCTGGGGAATCGCCGATTTCTTGTGTCTGTGTTTTTTTCCTTCCTGAGCAATCTTGGACCGCGAGGCCCGCCCCCTGTTTCCGGCCCCCCTCGGGCTGGTCGGCGACGGCGCGCCCGAGACGAGAGGGGGCCTTAAGAGGGCGGTGCCCGTCGAGCGCTCGGGGAGACGCGCAGAGCCATCGTGGGACGACGACGACGACGACGACGACGACGACAACGACCCTCACGGTCTGAACTCCGGGGTGCGATCCCGCGGATACGCGATCGCACGGATGCGCTCCGCGCGGGGCATCTGCGACAACATGCCCCGCATCCGCGGGGTCGCGGCCCATGGGCCGGGCCCGCGAGGCAGCGGCCGCGGATACGGATGTGGATGCCGCCCACGAAGACAAGGAGCGAAGAAGGCTTCTCTGGCCAACGCGAGCCTCGGCCACGAATCGGTTCCCCGACGTAGGCCTGAGGAACGGCCCGAAAATAGGAGCCAGTGCCGGGCCCCGAGTGTTCCTCCTCTTAGCGTCTTGACGCTGAAGCTTGAATCTGAGGACTGGACTTTGCCCGACGGTGACGTCAGAACATGGACGGCGTCCACTCTGAAGATTCACACCACGCAGAAACGAACCGTCAAACTTCGCACCAATAGGGTAACAAACAGTTACATAACAGA